GGCGCCGGTGTCCTAAGTGGTTAGTTTGTACGCCCCATGTACAGAGGCTGAAGTCCTCAAGTGGGCGGCCCACACACTCTCACACTCTCTCTCTCTCGCTCTGATTTCAGACTCTATCCACCATCCTGTCTCTCCCACAAAGGAACAAAAAGCCCAAAAATAAATCTTAAAAAAAATGTTAAAAACAGAGATAGGTCATCAAGGTTTTTGATAACCTGTGTTTTGAACATTAACACTATGAGAGAGCCAATTTATTGAAGCCTTTTTCAGAAGAGGGCCGTAGTATTTTAACCCGTTTAAATTGTTATGTTCCTCACCAAAGAGCACCTTCAGCCTTCACAACACTTAAAACGTCCGAGCACTCCAGACTCTCCTCATTTTTTATTTTTTTTTAACCTTTTGATTCTAGTTTCTCACACTCTGTTTTCATTACACCAACCAAATGTATTTTGATTAAACTAACAGTCGGTCTTTCTGCTTATTGGCCGTTTATTTCAAAGAGGATAAAGTTCAACATGTCTGTCGCAATATTTAATCCAAGGGAAGAAGTCTGAGGACAGCCGAATTGGTCCAAACTAAAACTTCAATTTCACTCATTCACTTTTAGTTTTAAACACTTCACATGACATTCTGCATTTTAAATATATATTACCGTAAGACTAAAATAGCCCAGGCTTTTATTTAGGTCAGAAATGACCCTGCCTCTGTTTGGGACAGGTGTCGATGTGAGAAGGGCCTTTAATTATTTTTCAACAAATACCACACATGAGAAAACCTCTAAAATTGTAAACTTACACCAGAACAAATATTAAACTGTGCACAAAGTTGGATATCGATAAATAAATCAAATTCCATTAATTTTTTTAAGTTTTGTTTGTCTCATTAGAATACAGGCGTCGCTAAATTTATGGTAACGTACAGATGCTACATATGCTGTTCCATCCCTCTGTTTTTCATCTTTCGACTGTAAGAAAGTAGCTGAGTAAACTTCTATTTTGACATGAATTCACTCAATAAGTACAAATCATTCTATCAGCCGTGAGAGAACATCATGTGCTGTTGAGACACGCTGACTTTGACCCGTGCTTACTGCGTCATTTAAAGGTAAACCAAACAAGAATTAAAACTTAGAAAGTTAATGATTCATTCTTACAAAGGATTAGGAGAGTTTGACAAAAGACCAGCTCATGAAAAATCACATTCATGCCAAAAGTAGAGATGGGACAGATCCGATCTATTATCGGTACCGGGTCAGATTTTGGGGTAATTTTCATATCGATTATCAACCTGACGTCACCGATCAAGAAAGATCGTTGTGCGCACGACGATCTTTCTGAACTCACAGTGTCTCACTTTGAAGACGTTCAGACTGAACTGCACAAATTGCCAACCTGGAGACGTTCTGAGGAGATGGAACACCAAAGTACAGCCTTTACACTTCAGTTTAAAAGATTTATTTTGAAATCCTTACAGCTGTTGCGGCTTCCTGTTCGTCTGTGCAGCCAGCACAAACTTCAAATACATTTCTCTGTAATAATATTTATTTATTTGCTCTTGGAATGAGAATTGATCTGGTAGCTGGAGAGGTCTCAGTTCACTTCTTGAGCACTGCCGAGGTGCCCTTGAGCAAGGTGTTAAAATCCCTCCCTCTGTTCTTCTTCTTCTGCATCAATATTAATAATGATTTAAAAGTAATATGTGGATCGTGTATCTCTAAAACATTTTCAACCAGCTGCAAAAGAAGGTTTCTCCTTGGCATGTTTGTGATGGTAGTAAAAACATTTTTTAGGGTTAAAGCTGTTATTTCGCGTACTCTTCTCCTTTCACAGCCCGATTTACAAATAGGTTTGGCAATATTAACAACAGATTTGGATTAATCACGTGTCAGTAATGCCAAACAGGGAAGTGAAAATTGCTGAACTGAAAAAAAACAAAAAAAAAAACACTGAAATGTTAGTTTCTTAATCTCATGTTTCTGCTCAGTCCAAATCTTTTTTTTTTTTTTTTTTTTAACTGGTGCATCTTTTGTGTTTATACACTAAAATATTTCTTGTTCTCTCCTGCTGCAGAGGTGGCCGCCAGATCCATTTAAAGATATCCACACGTCTTTCTTCTGGCAATGTAAAGACCTTGGTCTGCGGGTGCTGAGGGTGATGGCTCACAGTCTGGATCTGGACCCGGAGGTGTTCCTCCATACACACGGTCAAATAGGAAGTAGGTAGAAAATAAGGGCGGCAGCAACTGTTGATTGTTCTCATTGTCAAGTTTGGCAGAAAAATGTTGATCAGTGTTCAACCCAGGTTGACTATAATGTACCCAAATGTCCAAAGACTGTCCTCCAGGGGAATTAATTTTGCAGCCAGTTAAAAAGAAGAATATCTTATCTTAGCATGTGGGACAGGATGAGCAAAGACGTCCAGGCCGGCTGGTGTTAACAGAGATATTGTTTCCCCTCCAGGTAATAAGAACGCCACCACCCTGCGCTCTCTGTACTACCCATCAGTGAAGTGCGAGGAGGCCAAGGAGGGGCAGCTGCGATGTGGAGAGCATTCAGACTACGGCTCCATCACCCTGCTGTTTCAGGGCTCTGAAGGACTGCAGGTGACACCATCAACACTTCCAGACATCACTGTGGATGAAGCATTTTATAAATCTATATTTCTCAATTAAAGGTCAAAAAAATATACGATCATTCCTCAGTGGCTGCTGGTTTTCAAAAACACAAACAAGGTAAAAAAAAAAAAAAAGCAAACAAGGTAAAGACTCAGGTAAGCAGGAGTTGCTTGGTGTGCTGTGGATCTTGTTTGCTTTTCTTACCTGATCTTTAGTTGAGTTTAGGTTAGTTTATCTTTTATCTTCTTTCAAATTTCTTGAAAGAAGAGTCAAACAAGAAAATAAAACATGTGCAGGTGACGTAGAAACCCATGAGGGCTTATCTCGAAACATCACCTTAAGAGATTAAACAAAGTTAAAATAAAATACAGTAAAAATAACAAAGTAAGAATATTTACTATCACAGATAAAAATTTACCCAATTGAAAATTACATACAAACATTGAAAACATAAAAATAGAGCAAAACAGGACATACAGTATGTAGACAATATAGCAAAATCAGGACTATTCACTACAAATCTTTCTGACATCAAAGCATTTGTGAGTCTCATTTTGTATCTAGAAGAAGACAAAGAATCATTAAGTAAATAAAGATGCGTGTTCCATAATTTGACTCTACGGTATCTTATTGAGTACTGTCCTCGAGATGTATGACACATTGGTCAGTATAGGTTATTGATTTGTCTAGTTGTAATAGTTCACTTGAGAATTACAAATGAAAAATGCTTTAAAGCTTTCTGGCAAGTTTGCACTCATGTATTTAACTTTACAAATAAAGCTACTTATTTGAAGAATGTTATTATCAAAGATTGTCAATATGTTACACTTCAAAAAAAGTGGGGAGGTTGCATCACAGGACTTGGATAAATTTGCCATTCTGACAAAATGTTTCTGAAGTAATAGAATTTTACAAAGATATTTTTGAAAAGGGCTGAAAATCTATATTTCCCACCTTAAAAACCCTTAGATGTGTTTTAATGTTTGTGACTTGTTTCCCTCTAGGTTCTCAGTCGGTCGGGTGAATTCATCGATGCTCCTTGCATCCCCGGCGCCGTCCTGGTCAACATCGCTGACCTGATGCAGCGCTGGACCAGCGATCGGTTTGTCTCTATGGTGAGTTGAGATGAGGTTTTTTTTTTTTTTTTTTTTGCATCAAAAAACTGTGTAAAAAAGTTTGATTTGCTTAAGTTGCATGTAATACCCTCCTCTATGTACACACATTTCTTTTCCTACCTCTTTTGGGTCACACTTTTCATTGAAGACAACAATGCAAAATGCAAATTTGACGTCAATTTAGATAAAGAACTGCAGCAAATATACAGAAACATGTTATAATCATACAAATCTGAACTCAACTAAAGAAAGGCAAGCATTAGTTATACAGGGAAAATAAAAGATATTATCACCCCCCCGTGCAGTCGGGGGCCAATTAAGACAAACTATTCAGACTGTTGAGGAAATTATGTAGAAACTCGACTTCACACAAGAAAGATTCAGGAGACTCGGATGGCTTAAGTTGAAGAAGTGTATATACTGTAAGACTCTGGAGGATGAATGACATTGACAGCACAGGCGTGATACAGTTTCTTGCTGAGCCAGTTCTGTCAGACTGTCCCATAGGCTTTGTATTTATTCTGAAGATAATGCTAAAGTCAGGGGCATGTTACCCTACCTGTTCTACGTAGAACTTGAATGTGATGTCTAAGACAATTGAGAGCAGACTCAAAGTCTGTTTCTTGGACCAGGCTGTAAACATGTTAAAATCTGGCTCTTTTGAATGGGGGGGTGTGTGTGTGTGATTTCCTCTGCTTCTACATAACAGCCTCATGTAGACATCAAGGAACTGCAGGTTTCTTGCCCATCAGCATCTGCTTCATTTTTCATCCCCAGAGGTTGCTGCCTGTTGTAAATGTGAAAGATGTTAATTTGAGCTGTCTTGTCCCTCAGCGCCACAGAGTGTTGTTGCCCACGGCTGGAGACGACCGCACACGTCAGTCCTTGGCTTTCTTCGTCCATCCGGATGATGAGGCTCTGATCAGCTGCTGCGACGGCTCAGACAAATACCCACCAGTCACAGCAGGCGCTTACCTCAAAGAGCGCTTCAGCAAATCTTACGGAAAAACCTGAATTTCTAATTAGTTTTTAATTTTTACAGTTGTAACAGTGATGGCATCGATTCATGAAGGAACATTTGCCCTGCTGACATTTGAGGTCACGTCTAGAAAATCTGTCCAAATGGTTTAATGAACTCTAATCAATGAACTAAGTGGTGAATATTAACTTTCTCACTAGTTTTGTTTTATTGTGATTTTTACAGATTGTGTTTTTAAGAAAATCTCTGCATTAATGTATTTCAAAGTGGATAAATAATAAGAGACACAAACCTGCAATCCCATTCACTTTATTGTCCACATTCAAACCTTGCACAACAGGAAATGAGTCGGTACACGGATGAATCTGCTTTTTGAAAGAGACATAAAGAAAATAATTTAACTGGCCTATTTTCTCTTGGCGGTGAACTGAATAAATAAATTAAAAGAATCATAAAAAACAATTGACACACAAACACGCTGCACATACAACCACTGTAGTATTGACACAACTGTTACTTTAACACCATCATCATTATATTAAATTAAAAATATTAAAATATACATGTTATCAGTAAAATAAATACTCTCTGCTCATATCTCTTGATCCAAAGGAGGCAACAGCTTGAGAGATCAGTAGAAGGATTATGTTTTGAGTTTTCATAACTATAAAAAATAGAGAAATATAATGGTGAAACCAAAAAGTGTGTAACGTGTGGAACTTGGAGTCATGATGTCTTCTACGTGTGACGTGAGGATTTCTGAGCTTGTGATGCACGACCAATTTTGGTGCAAACGGACAGTAAAGTGATAAACATTGTAAGAGATTAAACGGGACAAAACCAACTGATTTAAATATTGATTAACTATTTAAAGGTCACATATTCTCCTCCTCTTGAACCAATTTCAATAAGTCTCAGAGCTCCCCAAAACGTGTGTGAAGTTTCTTGTTCTAAATCCACTCTGATCCTGTATTTGATCATGCCTATAAACCCCTCTATTTCAGCCCTGCTCAGAACAGGCTGTTTCTGTGTCTGTACCTTTAAATGTAAATGAGCTGTGTCTGACCACACCCCCTCTATGGAAGGGCTTGGATGGCTGGGGCTCGCTCCATGTCTTATTGTTTACAGTGAGAAGGCAGACTCAGAGGGCAGAAGAAACACCTAGCTGTGGGAGTGTCACCCACCTGGGGGAGGGGTTACTGCCCTTTGTGATGTCACAGAGGGAAAATCTCCAAACGGCCTGTTTGAGCACACATTTTCTGAAAAGTGGAGCAGGCAAAAGACGGAGAGGATGGACTTTCCTCATAATTGGGGGGTTTGTAGACAGACTAGGGACACACTAGAGTTGGAGAAACCTGGTGACGTCTATTTTGTATAATATGTGACCTTTAAATATTCTTTGTCACATCTGAAGGTGAAACTAGAAAGAAACGCACAAATGATTGGTTAAATAAAAGTTCTGAAAGAAAATACCTTCATGGATCCAGGAAGTTTGCTGTTTTAAGTGATGTTTTGAATATGTTTTGTTTCTTATAATTAAACATTTTAAAATATTATTTTACTCTGTACACTGAATGATTGAAGTCATTAGACAGCCGCACTAAATCAACTCTACAGTAAAGTTACCAACATTATTTTTTTTTACTGAATATTATCTCCTTTATGGAATATTGCTGCCTTCAAGTGCTCTTGGTAAATATGATATTCACCGCATTTACGAGTTATGAGCCCATTAACAGCCTTCCATTGTCTTGATTTCGAGTGGGAAAGAAGTTTCAGTGATACATGTGTTGCAGAGTTGTGACTTTTCAGGTCGGGATAAAAACCGGAAAGCTTGGAGACAGTGTCAACAATTAACTGAGACAACAAGCACGGTGACAACACCTACACAGTATGCTAACAAGCCTAATTTTAGCAATAAAGCTAGCTAGCTAAGCAAAATGCTGCATTCATGTGGTGTCAGACAAATCGGGAAAAACTAGTTTCTGAGTTGTAAAATTCACATGAACACCTTCTCAACTCAGAAACTCAGAAAAGAATTAGGTTCCCGACCTGACATCAGAATCGTCATCAAATGGGAGGCTCTGCTTACTTCTAGCGTCCATGTTTGTTGCTTTATTCGACCAGAGCACTCGAACGCGTGTATGTTGTCATTATGACTGCACAACTGGGAAGTACAATGTTTCCGAGGAGCACATGAAGGCAGCATAAAAAACAAAAAATAAAATTACTCTTAAGAGACAGTGACAATGACCAACAGTGTGTCTACTAAACTTCCACCTTTTGGGCAAGAAGGTTCCTCATTTCACCATGTAGTACTTTATAATCAGAATCAACTGGTCTTGTAAAATAAAATAAAAATAGGGTTAATTATCCGCATTAAAAACTGGACCTGCTCGACATTTCCGCTCTGATTTAAGCAGCCGAATCAGCAGTAACAGGCGCTGGCATGAGATCGGAAGCCTGAAGTCATATTCTCTGATATTTACGGCATCACTTTGTCAGGTGGTGTTATAAAAGTAATTACCAAGAACAGCTTCAAATCATTACAAAGTAAAGACACATGCGTTCTCTCATACTCTCACTCACATTGCAGCACACACTCTCTCACTCACACACACACACACACAGAGAGAGTATTCTTCAATCCTGCTAAGAGTGGCCTGGCACCGGGACGTCCTGCACTGGTTGACTGTTTACTGGAACAACTGGTGCTCGGTCATGTTCAGGAACAGTCGCTCCAGCCTCTGCAAAGAGAGAAAGTCACATCGTTCATTTGATTTATGACTTTAAAACAAATGAAAATGAAAGAAGTGTGGCTTATGTCATCTGATTGGACAAGAGGCATTCCATGAGAGCTGATATCGGCCCTGTCCCAAAATCCACACCTCCATAGGGTGTCTCTAGTGTTGTTCTAGAGGGGGGCTCTTGCCTCCTTAATGCACCTATTCCATAAGTGCGCATCAGACCTCACTGTGCTCAACCAAAATTCCTGTGATGTAGGGAAACAGCTAACCAATCGGGGGAGGAAAATGGTTGTTTCCAGGTTGATCGAACAGGGAAGCCGAGAAGAGAGACGATAATAATAATAATAATAATGATAATAAATTAGATTTATATAGCGCTTTTCTAAATACTCAAAGATGCTTTGACAGGAAACAACAAAAAAAAACAAAGCAAAAACGAAGAGAACAATACAAAATAGAAATAGTGTCAAGGGAAGAGGATGAGAGTCAGTGGTTGTAGGCGGTGATGAAAGGATGAGTTTGAAGAAAGTTGTTGTTTAGTGAGTGTTACTGTAAGTGATATATGAGCAAAAATATGAGCTGACATGAAGCTGATACACAACATTATACTCGACAAATTTCACTTTCTTTTGCTTAACATAGGGACCGACAAGCTGACGTATAATTTTATCAAATTCAGGGCTATTCACAGGGTACAGAAACGCCTCTACCCAGGGATATGAGTAAGTTCACTTGGCTGATCAATTCTAGAAGGAGTACTGGGAACAATACCACTACGGCCAGTGACATGTTTCCTGTTTGGACCCCAAACAGAAATGACGCATTAATGTCTCAGTTCTGCTCTTAACAGCTTCGGTCCCTTGCAAACTTAGGCTCCACTTTCAACAAATGTGCACATTGAGGAAGTGGGTGGAAGTGCGGATATTGAGACAGGGAGATAGAGAACAACATCACTTGGACTTTTCACAGAACGTATGCCTCCGCCTCAGCCAGGTGTTCTGAATACATGAATGAACATTACAGCAGAAAGTCTTTATTCATCGATCTGATACCTCCAAACCGCACAGCAGACTCTGATTTCACCAGTTGCATGATGCATTCAAATATGCAAATATATGATCATAACACAAAGCAGCAGGGGAGTGGTAACAACGGTCAAAAAACAATTATAGTAGCAAGAGTGCAGGAGAATGTTTGGGTTGCCTGGCAACAGTCCAGTTTCAGTTAAGTTGTTGGACAAGATGAGTTGGTGGAGTTTTGACTTTTATTTGCCACTTGTTTAACTGGATTAAAAGCACGATCACATAATAGGGAGAGATGTTGTACTGAATATCATCATCAGTGTGTTGTTTAGTGACACACAAGAGGCTGCAGGCTGAAAATAATCACAAACATGCAGATAGTCAGAGCAACATCACAACCCTCTTCTCAGTTCTGATCATATCATGCAGGATACTTGACCCTGATAATATAATAACAGGTATCTATAATAAGAGGTAAAATCAAGGTCTTCCAATACAAACATATGAGGATGTTCATGTTCTTCAGAGAAATGCTGGTGCAGAGAGCACTAGGGAGCTAGCCAGACACATAGAGGATTAGGATGACTGGAAACGTAGCTTCCTGAGGACGACTGAACGGATGATCATGATTTGCATCGGAAAGTAGAGACGAACAGATTCTAAACACTAAAAGTCAGGATTTCTTGGGCTTTATACCTTGATAGTTTTTGTCTCTTGAGAGTCCTTCAACTTTATAGAGGCTCAATCTTTTCCATTTATTTATTTACTTTCTATTTATTTGGGGGGGTATTTTTCTCAGCTATTTGTGCATTTTTTTAAGAGAACAGTGGATGAGTCGAGTGAGGGGGAGAGAGAGAGAGGGGAATGATGTGCGGGAAAGGAGCCACAGTTCAAATTCAAACTCAGGTCGCCTGCTAGGAGGAATACAGCCTCAGTACATGAGGCTTCTGGCGCCCCCTAGAGGCGCAATCTTGATCAGCAAGTCTAGCCCAATAATTCAAGAGTGTTAGTGTGAATGTCTGTGTTTGTTTAAATCAACAGAAATCACTGCGTTACTTACGTTTGACTTCCGGTTTTGTGTTTTGGGATTTTATCCTCTCTATGTCTTCTACTGCCTGATAAAAAAAGGGAAAGGGAAAATTTTAGAGCATCACAAAATTAGAAGGAACACTTCTCAGTTTTTTTATGTGAAAATCTAGTAGGAAAAAAAACCCATCACTGCATGATGAATTACTGTTTGATGCACATCAGTATCTACCAACCAATGATATAAGAAGAAGTTAAAGGAGCAATATGTAACTCTGACACGCAGAGTTTAAAATGAATACTGCAGTCTGAATTTAAAACATTAGCGAGAGAGCTGTCTCCCCCCGCCCCCTACTCTCTAGAGTCGATGTGCACACAGGTCACCATGTGGTGAACACTGAAGCTTCAGTGTTTAGCCAGCTCTGCATCGGTCTGTAAACCTTTCTGTGTTCTAACCTCTCTCCATTTTTCAAAAAGCATCTCCAATATTGATCCTAGTTTGAGCACGTTTCTGCTCGTGGAGCTTATTAGAAACATGCAGAGGCTTTTTAGGTCGAGTACAATCACTTCTATCTTGCCCGCTTCCATCGCTGCAACACCTGTTGGTTTGACCTAATAACTGGTCTCATCTCTGACAAACCAAGGGGCGTCCAAAACAGCTATGTGGGGTTGCCTTAAAACCGCCTACCTTCTCTGGTCCAAACAAATCCAGAGCATTCAGGACCAGAATCTAAAGTTAGAAGGAGGACATACTGGCTGCTGAATTGTTGTCAGAGAAGCCAGCACTTCAACACAGCATGTTTCCTTAATGTCTGATCATATAGTAAGGTCACTTTTATCATTTCATTCAGTAGATATTTTACATATCGGTCCCTTAAGCGTTGGTGTTGTTGGCTCTTCCCTGCGTAATGCAACTCAAACTTCGAAGCAGATACAAGAAGCAGAGTCTTCTGGATATTTTTCCATCTACTGTCCTTAAGCAAATGCAGACTTTGTTTATGTTCTTTGTTCACCTGTTGTAGTCCCAACTTCTGAGCATTAAGTTCTTCCTGTTTCCTCTCGAGCTCCTCTCGCTGTCTCTGCAGCTCCACCGCCTTCTTGCTTATGTCGTTCTCCTCGTTGGTCAAATGCTGTTCAAACTCTCTCAGCTCCTCCTCAGTGTACAGGGGGTTATTGTCTAAAGTCTGTGGACAAGATAAATTCTGGTCAACTTCTCAAGAAGGATATTACAACTCCTTACTCAGCTGTGAAAGCATCAGTGTCTTTAGGTTAGCCTCACACATCTATCAAACCTTTTCTTGAATCTAGCTCTTACCTCCCATTCATCCTTTTCCAAGAACTCATCCTTCTTCGTAGCAGCCATGAACTCGTTCAGCGACACGAGTCTGTCCTTATTGGTGTCCACCTAAACAACAACCCATAAAGCAGCTTGAATCAATGTCAAGGAAGGCTGGTAATTGGTCTTTATATAGAAAGAATGGCTGAAATTTAAACTCTCATCTTTAGCCCTGTTCAACATCTGTCACTCTAACACATGTGTTTAAAGTAAACATTCATTTTAGTCCACACTGAGGCTGTTTCATGTATATTAATGTGGGCAGAGGCAGAAAAGGGGGGGGTGAGATTTGTGCACAAAGTGAGGATTTTACTTTTCTCAGTGTATGATATGTACAGCCAGGTGAGCGTGTGTTAACGAGGCTGGAAATGAATGCTGGACGCATGAAGCATGGATGAGAGACAAACCGAGATACTGCAAGTAGCCCATGCTACACTGGACGACCTCTTGTAGCTTAATTTAGGAAGAATGCTACAATATATTTTGTATTGATCAATAATGAGAAATTTCATTTCCATTTCCATTTGAATGGGAAAGCCAACTCTAAAAGGAGTTTTTGTACTGTTTGTTGGTTAAGAGGGGAGAATACTGTGTGAATTGAAGACATTTGGATGGATATCTAACACAATACTGTTCAATATCTTACGCACAGCCGTTGGTTGGAGACTACAGCCTGCGACATATGGGACGCGGGAAATAAGCGCTAAGCTATCCTGCGCCCCAATTGTAAAACACTTATAACTTGTTTTTTTTTAAAGTGCTGTATAAATAAAGTTTATATAGTTACTATACCTCCCACAGAAAAAGTCAGAATCTTGTAACTTTCTGCTTTCAAAGCATGCCTGTATCTTTTGCGATGCCGGAACATCATCATTAAAACACTTGAGAGAGGCGTCACCTGTGTTCTGTTATTGCTTACCTCGTTCATCACATGCTCTCTCATCCGCAGCCTCTCTTCTTCCATCTCAACCATGTCGTCTTCTTCATTCTCAGGGTTGTACACCTTCTCCAGCTTAGAAACACAAAACAAGATTACGTTTTTTACCAACTAGGTTTCATCATTTGTGTAATAAATCATACAGAATCAGGACGTTCAGATGAAAATACACTGACTTAAATACCTCTTTAGTGAAGAGAGCTTCAAGCTCGCTCTCATCTAAGAAGCCGTCTCCGTTGCTGTCTGCAACACAAATCAGTGAAGGGAAGACTCTGGTCACTAGACTGAAGAGTTACAAACATGAAAACCTCCGATAGGCGGTTTGGGCTCTTTGGACACATATTTGGTCTCTGGTTACCAACCGTGCATTTTGAAGAATGTCTTGGGATCGAAGTCTTCTGGGTCCAAACCATCTGCCTCCTGCCACACCTCTTTCAGCTGGTCCCGACTGCCCTGTACACACACACACACGCACGATAGCAAGTGTCAGGTCATGGTTGTGTGCATCACCTCACAGCCTCGCTCTTTATCATCTCTTTTCCTGTTTTTATTTTCAAAATATTCCTGTATGTTTACAAAAAATATTTTCCAGTGTGTAAGAAAATGGAGAGAAAACTTTAAAAACTCCTCTTAAAGCTTTTTCACTGGAGGAGTTGTAATCCTTGTTTGCATGAATGAATTTCATCACAGCAGGAGTCTTACAGGGTGGTGAACTTTAGGATGGTCGGCGTGTTTCTTCTTCAGCTCCTCGTAGTGCTCCTCCTCCTTCTTTCGATCCTCCTCGGGCATGGTCTTCAGACGCTCCCTCCTCTCGTGCTCCTTTATCATCTCGTACTTCTTGAACTCCTCGTGTCGGTCCTTGTCATAGTTCTCCAGGTCTTTGGTTGCCTAAAAATAAAAAAATAAAAAGTTAAGAAGCTAAGTTAAAACTAAAGAGAACAGCTGGTACGCTCATTTGACTAAAATGGAGGGGGGGGGGGGGGGGGTACGGACATTTGACAGGCTGAGGGCTGGAGAGGCAAACACGGTGTGCACTTAAAAATCTAAAATGGCAGTGACAAAGACCCCAATCATGAACTGAGTGTTGTTATTTTTTCCTATTTATTAAAGATTGGGGGACTTTGTTTTTGAATCTAGTTTTTTTTAAGGAACATTTAAAAAACTAAGGAAGTTCTTGTTGATAAATGAAGAATTGGATTTTCACATCCTTGAGAATCAGGCGTTGAATGTTTGTACCCTGGAAGATACATCGCCAAGAAAGGGATATAAAACACTTACATTTAACCATTTGTTTCATGGTTTTATTCTCTATAAATAAATATTATCAATTTGTGAAATATTGATTACTCTTAACTTGAATCCTAAATGGTTTTTTTTTTCCGGTTATTTAAACTAGTTTGCACATTTTTCATGGACAGCAACCTTCATTTCCAGCTGTTCTGAGGGAGTCTTTGCATCACCAGCTGGTCAAAATGTTTGCAAAATGTTAATAAAGGGTCATCACAGGGATGGTTGTATAAAAAACAAAGATTTTTGGTTTATAATTGGTAAACGGGCCAATTAAACTGCAACATATCCTGGGAGAGACAGACTCTAATATGGAGAAATAAATTATGAAATGGTGTTATTCCAGCCCATTTAAGGGTAAACTAAATTACTGTAGTTAAACTTTCACCAATTGTTTCGAGTTGATGTTGTAAATATTTCTAATAGGAACAGAAAGTGTATAACCTCTGTTCCTCCGTACTCTGCAGCAGGTGGTGTGCTTTGTTGTGGAACCCAACTGATTAATCGGCCAGCCGATAATATATCATTTCAGCATTTCAAGTGACTATCGGCATTGGCCTTATTTTATCTGGGATATGCGCGGATATCACTAGATTTATTCACCAGTCAAACATAATTTCATTTGAGTTTCATTGTATTAAACTATCAGTTCTCTTTCACCAGCAGAGGGCGCTATGGATCACAACAAGCATCACCACCCTCCATAGTGTGAAGCGGTGATGCACCTACATGCACAGTTATTTTCCAGTTGAGTGACCATCTTGTTTTCATTATATATCTGGAGTTGTTCTCTATATCGATCTATCTCTAAAGATTGAAGACAGATCTAAAAAAGATGTTGGCTATCAGATTTGCTCCTTGTACCAGATCCTTGCTTGTGTTGTACTTACTCTCTGATGTACGTCGCTTTGGAGAAAAGCGTCTGCTAAGTGAATTGTAGAATTTGTTTTTTGCCCCTTTTATCAGTATCTGCCCCAAAAATCTCATATCAGTCAGGCCTTAGTTTGTTGATATGTAATGTAAAACTTTCTATGCGCCTTTTTCAGGTATAGCTAATCACAATGTTTGCATTTTTACTTTAAGTGTACTTTTATGCCTTATGGCCATAAATACACATTTAATCATCCTTTAATGTCCTAATAAGTGTGTTCAGGTTCAGGTTCAGGTTACTTTATTTGTACCCGTAGGTAGATTCGTTCGCAGCCAGCAAGATCATCCATCATGACACACAGATTACAAGACAATTGTAACAATGAACAACACATAAGAGAGAAGGAGATCTAAACCAACTCAAACATGTAACTAAAAAAGATAGGAAGTGATAAAAGCACTCAAGGTTCCACCAATCAGGGCATAGGTGAGAGAAATCTCCACCAATAAGATCAAGTGTAGTGTAGAGCAGAGCAGTCTATACCTGTTGATACCTAAAGGTGTATCTGTTTATTCCTCAGCCATGCATCTGCTCACAGTGCATGAAAATGTCTCGGTCATTGAAAGTTTAAAATCACATTTTCTCACAAAGTATCGTAAATACTCAGGTCTACCTGTTGATCTTTACGTTTTATACAACACCCTTGTTTGCAACATTTCCCTACTGAATCCAACAAAAGTCCGAAAAGCATTTTTTTCCCCACATTGTCACCAGTTAATCTGAGAGGAGTTGATGGCTAGCTCGAGCTCTCAGGTGGACAAAATATTCTGCTAAATGAAATAACAACATTGAATCTTCATCTGGCTGCATCAAAATGGTGTGAACGTATGGCTGTTATACTCATGGTGTCCATCCAACAGATAAAATGTACACATGCTGAGTGAGAGAACATGTTTCAGTAAAACATTCTTTGTTATTACTGCGATAAATTCAGATACCTCTGATGTGTTTTTTTGTGAATGTTGATATTGTCATAGTAAATGAAGTTGGTATTAATTGTGCAGCCCTACAGGAAAAACATCCAAACCTACAACAACACAATGAAATATGAGGATTAACATGCATTCGACTCCACTGTAAACCAGACAGCCACGTAAACCAAGAGCTCGCTTCCCCTTTGTGTTTCCTTAATTCACAGGAAACCTCGGCGTCCCCTCATGTTTATCTCTGATGCACCATCATCCTCAGCTCTGAATCACCAATGCTTCAGAGTTGTTACAACATTATCTAAGACAGTGGTTCCACTTTTACCATGGAGCCACCTCAACCTCGGCTATTCTGAAGCCTCCGCTCTCCTCTAGCGGCACACCTCCAACCCCCCTCCACTAGCATTCACATGAAGGAGTTATCAATTATAATGCACCATAATTAAGCACCATTAAGCGCAGGAGGCGGACAAAATTGTTCTTTACTCGAGCTGCAATCGCCTGTGTCCTGCATTGTTGTGTTAGCATGCTAATGTTAGCGCTCTTCAGTTAGCTCATAGCTTCATATTGCACATAAATAGACACAGAATGACCGAGATCTAAAGACACTTAGGTGACATTCAAATAATCAGTGAGTATGTTCTTCTTCTCTCTAGTCCTTGACCAAAACAGCTTTTATACACAAGGGGAGGAGCCGGCCGTCCCGTCCATGTAAACACGACTCTGACAACAACACAGCCAGCGGGACTCGAGCTTCCCACTCATTGTAGACACTCATGACTCAGAGACACATTTACACAGGATAGACTGGATTTCTGCTTTCTTTATGTGTAGAATTTCGCACATTCTAGCTTTAAGAAAAACACATAAATACATGTGAAATATGTCACACAGATATCCCAGTAGTACTGACACTACTGACTGTGTTTATGGCTGCTATGTGTGTAGACGGGAGGCTGAAACAGCTGAACAAATTTGTGCTAGTTGAAAAGTCAATATGTCCAGAGGCTACAACGGTTCATCTTCTGAAGTGAGTGGTCTGTTTATTTTGGCTGTGTGTGATGTTTGCTCACAATGCCAGAAAGGGTATAAAAAAAAAAAAGAGCCCGTTCTCAGTGGGGTACACTTTGTTCGTTATTAATGGAGTCACTCTATATTATATCACATTATTAGCTTTCAGAAGAGGGAGGGCGTTAAAATCCTTGACAGGAAAAAGTCGGATCTGCAGCAGAAAAATCTATCTTATGAACAGTGTTCAGGTTTTTACCGATTTGATGAGACGGTCCAGATCCACCACCTCAAACGTGTTCGGGTTCATGTGGTTGAGGTGTTCAAACTGTTTCAGCAGCGCCTGGTGGTCCACTTTCCAGCCTGCAAGGAGAGGAATAGTGTTTTTTTTTTTTTTTTCACTTAACACCGCCAAATGTCCAGTAAGTACTTTGCGGCTGTGGCTCAGTTGGTAGAGTCGGTCGTCTCTCAACTGGAAGGCTAGGGGTTCGATTCCCAGCTCATGCAGCAGCATGTCCGATGTGTCATTGGTCAAGACACTTATATAAAGAAACAAATTGCTCCTGCTGCTTTGTATGAACTGGATTAGTTACTTCTGATGGTCTCTTTACACAGCAGCCTCTACCATCAGTGTGTGAATGTGTAGGTGTGACCTGCTGTGTAAAAGCACTTTGAGTAGTCAGGAGACTAGAAATGTGCTCTACAAGCTCAAGTCCATTTACCATTTAATAATATATCTGACCCTGTTATGTCCTCAACCTGTAATTTAGAGCTTTGACTTGCATGACTTTCATATCTAACATACAATTCATCCATTCATTCATCTGCTCATGCTGGTCAGTATAAAGTCAGTGTTATTTGGTGCTGTGTAACATCAGCATCTAACAGCCACATCCTATATTTGGTGATGACCCAACCTCTAGTGTGTGTTACAAAACTTCTTGCACAACTCCAAGAAGCAAAAAGTTTTGAGAGAGACACGTCAGCACGGGATGCCGAGTACCTACCATTCCCTCCCTGGATGTCGTGTTTGGCTTTAATGAGCATCCGCAGCCTGTTCATCTCCTCCCTCTTCAGCTCGTCCAGCTTTGTCCGGAAATTGTGGTGAACAAAGTCCAGCTCTTTGGAAAGTTTACCGCTCTGCAAGCAGAACATCAACACAATGCAGGTTGAGACTAAACGTTCAAGTCAACAAAGGGCTTACAAATCAATGGCATGTACCTTGATGTCATCCATGTTGGCATTTTTTAGCTTTTCTTTAAAGTGGGGGTCTTTCTCAAGGAACTCAATGACTTCCCTGAGGTAGCGGTCGTAGTGTAGCCCAGTTTCCTGAAGCATAAACAGAGTATCAGTTGTTGTCCATACTAAATGTTTTAAAACAATACAATCTCATTTATTTTTATAATCCACAGTATCAAAAAGTACCAAACATAAGAAAAAACTTCATATCTGCAGACATATTTTAAATATGTCTGCCACAAGTGAAAGAAAGAGAGAGAGAGAGAGCACTGTCTAAATTGCACAAATTCAGAAATGTTTTCAATGTATTTCTGCTATTAAGACAGTGAAGACTGGGATTTTTAGTAAATAAAACTAAGAAATACCGGATAGGGGGTGCATAGGACTTCTATAAAACAGGTGTTGATATTATTTTTTACCAGTATCATATTGAAGTTTATAATTCTGGTATCATCACAACCCAAAGACTGTACAGCCTATGTGACGACTATACAGTGTGATAAGCTATATGACCCTGTATGCTACAGTCATACTCACAGCACTCTGTGGTGGCTCCAGCTCCTCCTTCTGAGGCTTTTCATTTGTCTTGTCCACACTGATTGGAACTGACTGGATACACAGCCACAAACTCAGCAGAACTAGCCCGCAATGGGCCAGCGCTCGACCCCTCACCATCTGCTCAGGAAGGTAAAGTGAGAAAAAATAAGACATCAGTTCATTTTTAATGCTACATGAATAGGATAGGATAGGATAGTACTTTATTGATCCCTAGAGGGGAAATTCGGGGGTTGCAGCAGCACAGACAAGTAAGGTCAAAACACACATGGTATATGTCTCTCAAGACTTCAAGATGCTTATGTTTTCTCTAATAGTGGTGTACAATCATCTGAAATTCTTATGCTGGGAGGCACCATGGTGGGGATTAAATATAAAAGACAGACAATGTAGTAGCTATGATGAAATAAAATAGATTTGAATAACCGAATAAAGGATGAAAATGTGGGGTTTTAAGAAAGAAATGTGCTTTACAGTACATTTAAATCAAGTAAAGTTCAAGCCTTAAAGTACATTTAAAGCAGAATATGTAGGCTACATTTAAATCATACTTCAAATCTTTAAGGCTAAATTGTGTGACCATCACGGTGAGTGCACATGCTTTCTCCTCTCAGAAGAGGAGCATTGTGGCAGAGCTGCACAACATAACTTTATCTTCATGCAATATGTGATGATCTTGTACAAGTCCTAATCCCAAGCAACTCTTTGCCACTTGCTGTGCAATTACAAAAAAATAAATAAATACATTTCTACCATAGCAATGCAACAAAGAAAGTGCTGTCAACCTGTAATTTCGTGATAAATATCCCACTAATGTTTATTGTTTTACGGATAAGGTGTCTAACAGATGGTTCAGGCAGGATGGCTCCGTGAAGATGGTAGCTAATTTATCAACCTGTTGAAGTACAAATCGATAAAACAAGTTACTATACATATAAAATAGCACTAACCTTTTAACTGGCGCTTATTCTGTGTTCCTCTTTACACCGTTTATCCCCTTTCACCGTTTAGTTTCGCTCCAACTACCTGAGTTCTAGCGGCGCTTGTTTATAGCTGTCATCTATCCACACTGCAAGCCTCATATGGCTGCAACCTACAGGGGGGGAGAAAAGATTGTGTTCACCATGGCAACGCCCCGCCCTCGCCTGCCCCGATTGGATAGAAAAATGTTCTACTTTCGTTGCAAAACAGTCGCGTTGAGTTCTGATTGGACGGTTGAGCTGTCAATCAGAGTGTGTCACAGTATCAGCCCGTGGCTTATGGTGCATTCATTAGGTGTCGGATACATCGGAAAAACGACTTTCCGAGTTGTAAAATGCACATGAACACCTGCTCAAGTCGGAACAACAACCCGGAAACTCGGGTGCCCGACTTACCGACTTGACGTCAGAATTTTCATCACGAGGGGCTAAATATTTTTGTTAATTTTAACATACTTTTTATTAGGCGAATTCACGTATTGCAAATCAACATTTTGCTGAAATATAACTTGTATCAGAGACATTCAGACATCCCGAGCTGAAATCACGTGAACACACTGAAGCCGGAAGACCGACTTCACAACTCGGAAAATGGGTCCATCCGAGGAGCACCTGAATGCAGCATTAAGGTGCTTTGAGAGCATAGAGAGCTGCTGTACGTGGCGTTCAGACAGTCCCCCACGAGGGCTGAGTGAGAGTTTCATTCAAGTCAAAGCAATAAAATGAATAGAGATTACTCATGTCTAAATAAATATTTCTGCATGACATCATCTGCCAGTGCAAAGTAATCCAACAAAGATGGAAAACATCATTCGTTTTAACAGAAATAATCTAAATTCTCTTGATGTTTGAGGCGAAATTGCTCGCTCAGTATACATTTACATGGAAAACAGAATCAAAACAACCAAAGCGCGCCGATGAAATTCTGGAGCGATCAAATACAAAAAATAAAAACAATAAAAAGGTTCATTTATTTGCTTGCGCTATAAGTCCGAATTGATGATCGTTAAGATGTGGATGTTGTTCATACTATGAAGCCTGCAACATTTGCTTTACAATAAAAAATAGAATTATAATAAATAATCTCCATCTTTCAGACACTTAAAGACACTGAGCACAAGTTAAGATGTTAAAATATCAAAAACAGCATAGTATAATAAAACTAAAAAGCATATCTGAGTCCGGTGCAAAGTCATGTCGAGCCTTATAGATTAATACATTTATTTTAAAATCAACACGAAAACTGCCAGGCAGTCGGTGTAAAGGTTTTAAAATTGATGTAATGTGTGCTCTCCTTCTGGTCTTTGTTAGCCCTCGTGCTGCTGCTGTGTTTTGAATTAATTGCAGTTGATTTACTGTATTCTTTGGTAGACCAGAAAGCAGAGCATTACAATAGCCTGCTCGTTATAAAAGCGTGCACCAGTCTCTCAACCTGTCTGATAAATGATTGCTGTCAGGTCACTCTACATTTATATAGTGTCGATATGAATGTCAAAGAAACAGCAACAGAAGTGTAGGAGGAATTATGATGCACTTGCACTGTAATTGAACTTCCATCAATCTGCTCATACTATATCATTTATCTATTCTGTTATATTATATATAGAGTTTATGTTTTTGTTTTTACATGATATTGCTCCAATGCATTGTATGTACATACATACTGTATGTTGCTTATTTCTTATATAGCCTATAGCTTACATTTAAAAAAATAACATTTACAAATTTTAAAGAATGCTTTGATGACAACATTTATCTCACTTTTAAACGTTTCTGTATGAATTAATGTTACTCACTTCTTAATCTTCATAACAGCCCTCTGGGACTTACTTTCTAAAATAACTTTAATTTCATTTACTTGATTCTATGAAGTAAATTAAATTTGAAAGCTAATTCTGAATATAACATGCTGATCTTTTGAACATGCTGATTTTCTTTTCTTACATACTTACATAGATTCAAGATCCAAGATTTTTATTTGTCACATGCTCATACAGATGTGCAGTGAAATGTAAAGACTGTTCCGCAAGGCCATGCAATAACACATACGCACATACAAACTAGAGACATGCTTCTCACACACAAGGGCCTGAATTACAAACATGAACAAACAGGATCTGTAGACATGCATTAATGGAGAGCTGTCAGAGTGAGGCTGCTACACAGTGAGCGCGCCAGAGCCATTTGGGGGACCTTGGCAGTACTCAGGAAAGGACCTGGCACTTCTCCAGCCAACTTCCGTATTTTGGTCTGCACACTCTCGTTCCAAACCCAAGTCTCTACAGCCTGAGCTACCCCAAAGTCCTGAACTCATAATTGTTGGGAGATACATTTGAGATGATCAATATCAGTTTGAGAAGACACAGGCCTGTTTCTCACAACCTTAATCAATATTCTGATTTCTTGCCAAACTTCACAAACATAAAAGCAGACTGCTGCAAACGGCCTCTTTTAATTAAAGTATGAACTCTTCTTTGGTCTTTCTGTGAATTAAAAACATCATAAATCTCTAAAGAAATTTACCTCTTATTAAAATATGTAAATAAAGTCAATCATTTGTGTAATTAAGGCTTTATTTTTTATCACCCTTGTACTGTCTCCAACTATTGTTTTATGTTTCTATTATTTATTATTTGATTTCCATTATTCTTTAATACATATACAGAAATGAAACATCATACAATGTTATGTTATTTGTAAAGTACAATAAAAAAAAATTAAAAATTAAAAAGTTAAAAATAAGAAAAATGTTGTTGTGTGCTCAAACAGGCTGTTTGGAGATTTTCCCTTCATGACATCACAAAGGGCAGTAACCCCTCCCTCAGGTGGGTGACACTCCCACAGCTAGGTGTTTGTTCTGTTCTTTGAGTCTGCCTTCTCACTGTAAACAATAGGACATGGAGCCAAGCAAGAGTCAAATCGGCACAGAAACAGCCTGTTCTGAGCTGGGCTGAAATAGAGGGGTTTATAGGCATGATCAAATACAGGATCAGAGTGGATTTAGAACAAGAAACTTCACACACATGTTTTGGGGAGCTCTCAGACTTTTTTTTAAAACTGATTTAAATTGAGGATAATATGTGACCTTTAAATAGGTAACAATCAATATTCAAGATAACAGCTGGTTTTGTCCCTTTTAATCTCTTAAAATGTTTAAGATATCCCTTTTTTTTCCTTTTGCACCAAAATTGGTCGTGCATCACAAGCTCAGAAATCGTCAAATCACACGTAAAAGACATCATCATGACTCCAAGCTGCACCTGTTACACACTTTTTAGTTTCACCGTTATATTTCTCTATTTTTTTATAGAGTTATCAAAACCCAAAACATAAAAATCTTTCTATGGATCTCCTGAGCTTTTGTCTCACTTGGATCAAGTGCAATGAGCAGAGAATATTTATTTTACTGACGACACAACATGTAATTTAATATGATGCAGTTGTAAGAATAACAGTTTCTTTAAGAAACTTCACAGACATGTTTTGGGGAGCTCTGAGACTTCTGTGACGTACTGTATGATAAACAAAAATAACAAATACAATCAAAACAGGATGAAATAAAATTTACAAAAATTATCTTCTGTTGACATTTATATCAGGAAGTGAGACCATCAAAGAAGTTACATTTGGGTGGATTGGTACTGGAGAAAATAAATAAAAATTGCAGAGGAGATACGAATTCCCTTGGGCTACAAAGCCACAGGCTGAGATACATGCAAAAATAGTCTCTTTAATTAAGACATGAGTGGTCAAAATTACAAGGTGCAACAAGGTGAATAATAAAAACAGCAGCAAGCTTTTCAGTCCTTGTTTTGACACTTCCCCCGTCTGACCACACGGTGGCGGTGCTGTCCCATTTAACGTCCAGCACATCGCCTCATCCGAGCGGAGAAGTAATCCAACCAAAACTCCAACCAACCTCCTCAACAGGAACTGACGTCCCCTCAGTGCAAGTGGACGGAAAAAAAAAATGCAGCTGCAGGAAAAAATGGCTCCAAACACCGCACCGCTAAAAGGTGAGTAACTAACCTTTTGTACGGTAAATGTTTGCGAGTTAAAGTTTTGTTTTTCAGTTGCCTGAAATCGTCGTTCGCGGCTCCATAGCAACCGACCCCATAGTAACCGACCGTTTCCCAGAAGAAGAAAAAACTGCATCTCTTCCTTGTTGTGAGCAGTTGGCAGTTTCCTTGGTGATTTTTTTAGATTAATATATCAGTGTTGTTAAAAAAAAAAGTACAGAGCAGGCACATTAGTGAAGCTGAATTCAGCCGTGTTATTTCTCAGTGAATGGTTTGTTTGCCTGCCGTTGCGTGCCGTGCTGTGCTGTTTGGTTCACGGGCTAACAAACTTAGCATCCAACAAAGTCTGAAGTTAAAGTTCCAGCCGCTCTCTAAAGTATCAAGAAGTGACATTTGATCTCTCCTGCCGCGGTCACTTTGCTGGATTTTAATTCGTATTGTCTATTGATACCCCCAGATGTATCTGCTTTTATCAAATCAGATAGCTCTTGCTTGTATGTGTACAACGTGAAAAGGACGAACGTACATAACTTATTGACATTTCACTCCGCATCTTTCATCGTGAGGTGAGCATCAGCCGAGTTATCTTAGTCATCTAGCCGACATGTAAACAGATAATGTCCATGTCAACTGTTTGGCATTTTAAAGCCTCAACACTGACAAAAGGAAATACCTACTCTACAGGTTGTGTAACTGCAACACTTGTATTTCTGTCGTTTAAATGTCTACCATAGTCAAGAATCACCCCTGATAATACAATACCTTAGTGCTAACCATTTACACCTTGAATTAAATACTTTGTTTTGATAAAATTGATTAATGATAATTCCTGTCATCATGTTGTTCATACTCTAAAGCATGCAACATGTGCTTTACAATTTCATTAATTAAAAAATATGATAAAAATAAATAAATAATGATATGTTTTTTATTTAAAAAGCACATTTCAGACTCAAAGACACTGAGCATTAGTTTTGAGTTAAACAAACATTTAAACACAACAACAAAGGATGAACAAATGAATACTTGGCGACATTACACACAGGTCATATAATCAACAACAAACTATACAACATGTAAAACAGTATGCACATTCACAAACATGGGTACACATGTAATTTTTATTATTGTTTTTGGGTGAGCTTTTTATAGCTCATTCAAATCTGTCTATCTGAGCAAGGAAAAGACGTGATGTCAACTATCAAGAGAGGCAAATCACACTCATAACCAAGCACAGATTCTACCTGATTTTAAATGTTTGATCTTGTTCTGTTTTCTTATTATAATGGACACATTTCCATTTCTGAGCGTGATTTATGAGAGATATGCTGCAGCACGTAGGCCTTGTTGCTTCGCATGCATTCTCTGCAAGAAAATATTTTTTTTCATTGTTTATTAATATGTCAGCTATCTTCAGCAATGTATTTACTTTCCAATTAATTTGTTTGTATTGGGACATCAATACATATAGGCATTGTTACGTCTAATTACAATGCAACTGATGCAATGTTTATTCTGGCCATGGCTAATTTACAATCCTTGTACCTGGTTAGTCTTCGAGGAAATAACACACGATACAACAACACTGAAATAGACATCAGAACTGACGATTGTATGAGACGTATAGGCAGTGACATACATATGTAAAAGCTAACAATAAAGCAGACATAGACGGGCAGATTGATGATAATGACTCATAAGAAGTTGAGAACATGATGACGGTCTGTGTTTCTCAAAGTCTAATGAGAACTCTTTGGATGTCCAAAATGTCTTGTTTTTGTCTACATACTACAATATTTCAGACTTTCTTTGAGAGTTGTGTGAAAAACACCTGAATATTTTCATTGAAGACCATATTACAAGATTATAACCTTTTTCCTACTAAAAATAATTCTCAAAACAATTAACAATCCTATATACAATTAAATTCTTTAGTTGTTGTGTCTCAGATATATACATTTTTTGGAGGACATTTCATATTTCTGTCCCATAGTGCTCTTAAATTGTCATTTTTGTTTCTTATTATGCAACATATGTTCTAAAAAGGTGAGGCAGCAAGAGTTCAGCTGTGTTTTTTCCTCATTGAAAAACCAATTAACATATCTTAGGAATCTATAAACTTGACCTGGTTACTTATTTTCCTTTTTAGAGATGCTGCACTGTACTTTGCTCAGCTGCCAAGTTTACTGCCAACACCTGCACTTTTCACAGCTGTGAGAAGCTTAACCTGAACTCAGTCCCATAAGAACAAACCTGAACATAAAGGATAGGTTCACAGTTTCCAAAGACAGTGTTAAAACAAGAGCCCAGTGCCCTTTATGTACATTAAAACTGTACTCTTTACTACTGTTACTGCTAGATACCAGGAGATCCCTATTTACTGTCACAACAGAATTTTAAACTAGAATATGATACTTGTAAAAATCAAACAAATTTTACACCCGTTTCGATACCACAACAACAAAACTTGTGTAGGTCATAGTAGCGCCCGTTTTTAACAAACAGGGACAGGACGGACATACAGTGCTTTTCTTCTCAGCGCACAAACGCTTCATACAAGCGCTCCCGAGCGCATAGTGCGCTTTTCTGATTGAAAAAACTGCTAGGAGGACATGGGGTCTTAGTAAGCACAGTCTAAAGGTTATTTGTCCAATCAAACTGATTGATGCGACCATAAAACATGTAATCAAGGACTTAAAATACACACTTAGCTTTATTAAATTGAAACCAAAACAAGACGATAAAGAAAAGTGTGTGAGTGTGTGTAACAGAGAAAAATTAGATGTACAGACTGTTTCTAAAGGGAAAATTAAACTGTACGTTTAGTAAAGAGAAAACATGACAGTGTATCTCTTAAAGGGCAATCTGTTATTGTAACCTCTGCATTCTTACATTTCTAAACTCAAGCAACCTGGAGGTTCTATCATTTTCGAACTACTTGAAAGGTATTTATGTCTTGCTCAGACGTTGAAAGTATCTTTTACAGGACCTCGGCTCTACCATCCTCTTCCATGGTGCAGATGAAATGAGTTTGCAGTATTGTTCTTGGCTGTCGTTGTCTCTTTTTTCCCCATACGTTGAGTTTGAGCTTTTCTTCCATTCTTTGCATGTCTCATGTTGCCATATATTGACTTTAAGCATATGGCTATCTCTTGAGTCAGGATCTTACAGTAAGACATCTTTTTGGTAACCTTAATGTACAACCAAACCCCATACTTGATTTGGCACTATATAGGACTGATGAGACCGATCTGCAAAGCTCTCTATTGGAACTATGTTTATTACAAAGTGTAATCATGTTCCATGCTTTCTCAGATTAGCCCTGTGTTTACATGCAGAATCAGGAAGTAGCTGCTGTTAAATGTCTGCTCCAGGTCAGGCTTTTTGACCTTTTGACTTTTGAACAGTGACTTCAACTACAAAGCGTCCATCTCTCAGTACATGCACTCTCACTGTGTGCAGAATCAATGACATACGGATGAGCTGCTTTGGCCAGACCATGTGAGGTTTTTGTGCACAGAATTAAGCTCTCGATGCCAACAGGCTCTACAAGACTATGACCTTTGTTTTCATGCATTTCGTGCCCTCCAACTGTGTTCTTGATGAAGTTGGCTCACAGATCTCTTGTTTGTAATCTTAATGAATGCAGCCACATTGTCGCTGCCTGCTGGTGTGAGCACAGCTGATAAGACAGTCTTGGGCCATGGTGCTAACATAATGCTAACAGAGTGGGAGAAGGCCAAAGGAAGAAAGAGAGAAAGAGGGAGAGAGACCCGTTGGGCTGCTTAGCATGCCAAATTCCTCAGCTGCACAATAGTGCTAGGCCAGCCTGAGCCCCAGCACAGCCAGCCTTCTCCACCACAATGGGAGGGGAAGCTCAGGAGAGGCCGTGACGCCTGGGGAGGGAAGGAACTCACTCAACCCTGGGACTGTGATCATTCGATGAATGGTTGCTTTGAGAAGGCGCTGTGTCATTTTAGGACCACAAAACAGTCTTTGCAGCAATGTTTTAAACAGGTCCTAGATATTCAACCCTGTCTTCTAGATTGTATGTTTGTGAAGACTAAACTACTTTCCTAATATGATATAGTGACAGGATAATCTTTGGCAGGATTGAGGTTGTTACAAATCACGATACCAGAATTTTACACATTGATGTGATACTAGTAAAAAATCAAAAAATATCAACACCTTTTTCAGTTCCACGGACAAACAAAAATAGAAGTCCTAAGCTCTTGAGTTTGTTTACTTTCTTGTTTTTGACCACTAAGAATTGCAAAGTTTCTGCAATTTCGGTACCAAACAATTGCCAATGTTTTTGTGCAACTTAGACACTGTGTCTTTGATTGCTTGACAGTATGGTATAGACCCATTTAAAGATATTCCATTATCACCAGTAATCCAGTTGAACCAACCTGTGGATTTGGATGGACTACAGCTCTCTCCCAGGTCACGCTTGTCAGTTTTGGATTAAAAAATATTTGACCTTACCTATACTATAGATCATTAAAACAATGGAGATTGTATTGTTTAAAAACACATCACTGTTTCTCCTACCAAATTAATGGTAGTGGACCTGACCCCCCCCCCCCCAAGTTAAGCATGAGTTATGTTCACCTCTGTTGAATGTAGAAATACATGATCTTTGTACAGAGCTGCCACACCAGCGTCCAGAGTTTGACTTAAATTTGACTTTAAAAACTCCAGGCTAAGTAACTCCAGGCTTTACGCTTCAGTCAAGTGAAGTCAACGAAAGCACTTTAGTTTAGTTTTCAGAAAGATTGTGTTTTTGGTTAGAATTCATTTATAATCTAATGTAAATCCTTACGTTATTCTGTAAGAAACCACAGCGAATAAGAATAGTGCTGCTGTCACTAGGTGTGGTTAATGTACTGCAAGATTGCAAATTTAGTCAAACCATAAATACTTGTTGGTCAACATTGTTCTTAAATGTTCTGTAACATTTTAACAACACACCTTAAAAAACATTTCCTCACGTTAATAGAATTAATTAGTTAATTGGGTCACTCTCTCGTCCAGTTTTCAGCATCAACTATTTTTCAGAGTTTGTTGGCAACACAAGCACAGCAGTTTTGCATCAGAGAAAAGCATTGGTACATGAATTAACAACAAAAATAGTAGTGAGTTGCTTGTGTGCACAGTAGTAGATCTACTAGTCTGCATGCCAATATGAGTCATCACATTTACAAATCACTTTGCACAATTGTTTGAAGTCTTTATTAGGTATGTGGTAAGCCTGGCTGCTCTGTCAAAGTGATCAACATAAAGGTCCACTAAAAGAGGAGCGTTCTCTGAGAGTAGGCTGATCAATTTAAATAGCCTGAAAATGCCAGATATGTAGACCATGCTGTGGTTATGTAACCTAACCATTGCCCTTGGCCTTCAAAACAAATAAGAGTAATTATTGGCTGTCAATACACGACAAATGGCAGCCAATCAATGAGAAGTCAAATGCTGGTTACAGTAACAAGGCTGGGTGAAACCTTATATAAAGAACTGAAAATCCCCTTCCAGAGAGGGGCGTGGTCAAACACCTCTCTCTTGCACATCAAGCTACAGACACAAAGATTGTCATTTTAGTTTTTATAAATCTGCAACGTGGTTGTTATTTCGGCAAACTTGAGACTTGTTTATGCAAGTAAATCACAAGATAATAGGTTTCTTTTTTTCGCGGTCATATCTCTAAAGTAAGCCAGAGTGAAGCCACTCTGTAACTTATTATCTGTTGAATTGAGACTCACAAGAAACAGGTGAACATGGGCTACTCAAGTGAGATGGATAAAGAAATGATGGTGGTCTTGTCTGCAACGTAAACACCACATGGAAAAGGAAGAAGTCTTGGCCCAAAAGTTGTAATGCTAACCACTGGCTTTACTGGAATTACTGAGAAATATAGCCGAAGGGATCAGAGTAGAGGTGGGCGATATGGGAAAAATATCATATCACAATTTTTTTGGGGGCAAAATCACGATCACGATTTTATCACGATTTTTTTCATACTGATCTTTAGACAAATTTGTAAATTACTGACCAGCTCAACCAAACTTATTTCCCTGTATAATGTTTTTAAATGCACAAAAACTGTGCTGACAAGTTTAATCTATTTGAAAAACATCTTTGTAGGAGGTCTGGAGGTCTCTCACCCAGAACATCTTTAGCAGCAGAAATGTCTTTCCTTCAATTTGATCGATATTTATGAACAATTTGAAGGTTTTCCTCACCACTTTGAAATTATATGTCCTCTTTTTATGTTCATCAGGAACATTTTCACACAGTGATGCATTCATTTAAAAACATGTAGACTTTGAGTTCTTGTGTTCCTGTTCTATTTAACCCTGCAGAATTCCTACAGCTGAAGCTCTGCAGCCTTTGTTGTTTTTTATGACATCATTGGACTAACTTTAGTTTTGTTTATATATAATCAAACATATTACAGAATGTGTTCATTCTGTGACACATGATCAAAGTAAGTTTTACTGACAGAAGAGTTTAATTCATAGGGGGTGGGACATTGTTGATTGACAGACAGACAGTCACTATGGTTACTCACTCTCACTTGCCTGCTGCTTTGTAAAATCGTTTAGCCTAATCCCTATAGGGATCACAAAGCTTCGGGTGGAGAGGCTTGATAAGTAACTTTTAAAAACTGAGAGAGAGCAGAAAACACTGACAGCAACATTTTAAACACCGGGGTTATATCTCCCATCACTGACTGTCTGAGCTCTGCCCTGTCTGTCTCTGATTGTTAACATCTCTCCGTGTCGCTATCTGAGATGTAGGCTAATCTTAACTGTGCACACTATGCAGATAAGTTAACTGTTGCTCACAGCGTGTCGGTTTGGAAAAATATCAGAACAGTTGCATATAACCGAGATGGAGTTGTTTTTGCGGACGTCATTTTTAAGTTTTGTTTTCGTTTTCACCGCTGCAGAGCAAAAAAGGGGGAGATGCGTCTGTCGGAGCATAAACTGCAGCATGATAGAATAAACACATAAGCCCGGTTCTACGATCTCTCTGCTTTGGCAGATCGTCAGCAAGTTAAAATCCTTCACGATCTAAGATCGTTATATCGCCCACCACTAGATCAGAGAATTGTCAAAACTTCATATTTCTGGTCAAGGCTTTGTTAATGAATTCTTGAAGCTCCTTTGAACCTGTTTGACCTCCTCTTCAAGCTACCTAAATTATGTTTTTCTCTTTTTCAGGTGTTTAAAACATTTTAGCGGTACCCCTTGGGCCACTCTGACTTAAAGGCTGAAACACCCATGGCACCTTTTAGTTGACAGAATGGCCCAGATTTCAAGTGGTAATGGGTTCAAGCTGGATGTCCCCCAGCCGAAAGGGGTTGTGGGTAAAGAGGAAGCCCTTCGCATGGAGGAAGAGGCTTTAGCGAAGTTGCAAAGGGATAAGAGACCGACCCTATCAACTTCAGCCCCGTCGTCTTCCTCTGCAGCATCCTTCTCAAAACCAAAACCATCAAAGTCGACCACTGCTGCTCCTCAACCATCACCCTTGACTCACAGACCAGAAAAGGACCTCATTGTCTTTCCAGAGACCAAGAAGCAGGCAGAGCAAGACCAGTTCAGTGACATTGATGTGGACAAACTGACTAATGAGGAACTTGAAAAGCTCCTACTGGACGAAAACTTTGGGGCGAACAGCAAAGTGCCCCGGCCCTCATCACTGCTGGGGTTTAACCTCAGTGCCTCCTACCCAGGGGGCCATGCCTGTAGTTCCTCTCCTTTCCAGAGTGGCCAGTGGACCCCTGTTCTGTCCACCCCATCTAGCTCCAATGTGTCCACTCCCACCCATCAGCCTATCCCAGTTTTCCCCTCGGCTCCATTCCCCAAACCAGGCACATTTCAGAACGGCTTCACTCCAACCATGTCTCCCTTCATGACCATGTCGGCACAGCAGCCATCCTTCATGGCATTCACTCCCATCCAGCCTGCTGCTGCCATGGTCTTCCAGCAGCCAGCTGTGGACCCGCAGATGGCCAAACTCTTCGACAAGATTGCCAGCACCTCAGAATACTTGAAGAATGGCAAATCATCCAGCACTGACCTAGATTCCTCTCAAGCAGGCATAGCTTCCCTGGCACCCAACCCACCACCCCAGCAGCCAGCAGTGACGGAGTCCTCTAGCATTAGTCGCTTTGACTGGCTGGATCTGGACCCACTTACGAAGCGTAAAGCTGATAATGAGGATGCCTCCCCGGCAGCAGGAGACCCCACACAGACAGCACAAGGACCTTCTGCCGGGGATCCTTGGGACGCAGTGCTTGAGACTGAAGGGAATAGCACAAACAGCAGCAGCCCACCTCTGGAGGGGAAAGCATCTCTGTCAGTTCGCTCACCGGCCAGGAGAATTTCACCAGGTGCTGGTGTCACCAGGAGTCACTCGCTCAACATCCCAGGGACCTCCTCTCAGCACAAACCAAACAATCAGGTAGGAGCTCTGTCACAGAAAAATGTTTGAAACTGAAAATGTTTCCTAACTGCTGATAATTCAGGCAAAGTCAACTCTGTTCCACAATTGGCATCATGTCCTATCAGGAAAATTATTAACATGTAGCTTTTTATCCTGGCACTGGTGTCCTAAATGAACACAGATTTCTCACACAGCTACCTTTCAGTCTGTACTCTTCCCACTGACACGGCTCAGTTGAAAAGAGTTTGTTACATCCTTCTGTGAACTGCATCAGGATCAGTATCAGTCTCATTATTTGTATACAGGGAAGGAAAGTATCACCTGCCAAATGCAGGACAAATATTGACCTTAGCAGGCTAAAATTATGGGTCTTTCTTCTTATATCATTAAATGTCATCTTTATAATGCAATACTAAAATAACAAATAGTCAAGTTTTAACTTTACATGATATATGTGATGTTTCTGTCTTATTTCTTTTGTTCTCGATACCATACAATCTCTCTAATTTGAATGATCGATGTTATCAAAAAGTACCAAAGCAGAAAGAAGTCATAATCTCAAACAAAAACTGCCACACTGTCTAAATTGCACAAATATTGCAGGTACTGAAACGTTGCAAAAGTATTTATGCAATTTAGACAGAGTTCAGGAATTTGCCTGTATTTTATGGGAATTAGAAAAAAAGAACTTGCCAAGGACTTCATATTTTGTTCCTGTGGTATCATAACAGGTTTTGATTTCTACTAGAATTATATCAGAGTTTAGAAATCTGAATGATTGGAAATGTTTAGTCACATGTAACAGTGGCAGGTCAAGAAAACATTTAATTTCAGACCCTGTTTTATTCTATACACTGTAAAGTAAAGTGATCAAACAACACAAACAGTGCTCTAATTAAGCAGATTAGCTGAGTTTTAGAGCATTAGTCTAAGGCTCTTAATTATTACTCATTCACTTTTGGGTGTTTGTTGATATTGGGAAAAAAAACTAAGTTTGAAATCAAGTTTACAGTTTTTGATAAGGGGGGTAATGTGAGTGAGAGTAGTGGGCCCTGAACAATGGAAATATGGATTCTTGCTCAATGATATGACACAACACTGGGCAGAATCGTGCAATTCTAGTTTTTTTGCTATCAAGGAATTGAGCTGAGAGGTCCAGCCATCTGTCTTTTTTTCTTTTAAGATTTATTTTTGGGCTTTTTGGGCCTTTATTAGAGAGACAGGACAGTGGATAGAGTCGGAAATCCAGGTGGGAAAGAGAGAGAGAGCGTGAGGAAAAACATGCAGGAAATGAGCCACAGGTCTGATATGAACCTAGGCCTCTGTACATGGGGCGTGAGCACTAACCACTACCCTACCTGCTAGACTGTCTGCTAACTGAATTGTACTACCGGAACCCCCCCCGCAGTCTATCTTTGTAACAACATACTCGCAGTAAACTTTCAAATGAAACCACAGCTATTACATTAGTGAGTCTAAAGTTCACTCTGAGCACATGATGGTAGATCTTCTTGTTCAACCAAAAACACTCATCAAAGTCTTTCTAGCTATTGCATGCATACTCCTCAGCCCTTCCTAGCACATGCCCTTACATCCTCTTTCCCTATGATCCCTGTAATTAAGTTTTTCATCGTGGTAAGCTGCCCACTGTTTCACCCCACAATTTTCCACAAGCTGCATTTTGTGATTAATTTTGCCATGCAGGACTCGCGAGATCTAACCCCTTGTGATGCATATTTAGAGCATTCATTTGGGACAGTGCTAGGGGCAAGTGGCATGGGATATTGTACCCTCTAAATCTTTTTATTCCCCCCTTAAACGAGTCAACCATCTGCCATTTGGCTGAAACAAGACAAGTGTTTGAGTCTTCAGCAGCACACCCGTCATCCAAACATGAACTTGTCGCCCTCTATTCCTTCCTCTTTATTCAGTATTGAAGCGTCAGATCATTTCAGAGTTGTAGATCTTGTTGGGAAATGAATGGCTAGAGATATGACATGCTAGTTCATCAGGATAATACTAACCCCTGTTCCTCAAGAAATCTGCTAAGAATTTTAAAGCTCTGAACAATCTGTTCTATCATTGTGTCAGTTCTTTTTGCGGTTTTCATGACACACACTTCCTGCTCATTGTGTCCTGCTCTGTGTCATGACCGAACAATTAGTCTCTGTGGGAAGTTTCTTACACCAGGGAGATAATCAACCTTGCAGTGCTGTACAAGGAAGGCCCTGGTTTCAAGAATTCCCCTTGGTTTTTGGAAAACCAGGAAATGTGACATCATTTTTGAACACAGTGTTTGGGAAGATTATAGGTCAGAACAGTAAAAAATGTAGAGACAGGTCTTAAACATGAGCAGCCGAAGCTTTTTCAATCTACTTTTCTAGTTGGTTTTTAGTCTCATATGTGGGACTCGACAGACATATACTTAGCTACTCATCAAAGGCAACTTATCTGGTCTGTACGCCCTGCTGTGTCTTCCAGGGATGAGGAATGTGTGCCGCTTTGAAAGGGTGAAAAGGTGTTTGTTTACACTTGCCTATATGTTATGTCTAGGGGGGAGCCTGCGTTAGTTGGTTGGACTGCAGTGTTATGTAATTTGAGCCATTTGAGTTCAACATCCAACCCTCTTACACTCACTTGTCTTTTTATTTGTATACAAATTACCTGCAGTCTATATGAGTTTGGGATGGTTTGTGTGTTTAAGTTGCCCCTTTGTTCCATGTGCTTTCCCTGGCAGTCTGCACCCAGGAACAGGAACAAGCCTGTACAGCTCACGATCAGAGCAATCTAAGAAATGGCCCTCATACCGATCCGTGCCAGCGCCACTCTTATTTAGACTCAGGGCAGAGAGATGCTAGGATTACAACAAATTAAGATTTGAGTGACTGGGATAAGATCTTGCAATGGTGGGAATCAACACAACGCACTTCAAAAAGTGTGGAAAGTAGGGTCCGAACCGATTTGTGATTTTTATTGCTGATGAATTAGGGAGAGTGAAAAATCTGATACCGATATATTGACCGATATCTTTCTTTGATCAATGTTTGAAGAGATAGATACACATTTTTATTGTGTTGATGCCTCAAATGCAGTTATCAAACACTTGTGTACAAGGAAGACAAGTTGGTCACTCATCTGGAAAGTAACTGCGCATGAACATGCATCACGGCTTGACACTCTGGAGAGTGACAATGCTCGTTGTAAACTATATAAAATCCTCTGCTGGTGACGGCCAGAAAGAGAACAGTTAGTGTGTCAATGAAACTCAAATTAAATGCTATTTGACTAATGAAAAGAAAATCTAGTAACATCGGCATATATCTGAAATAAAATTAGCCGATACGATAGTCACTGGATAAGCTCATATCGGCCGATATTATCAGCTGGTCAATTAATCAATTGGGCTCTTGTGGAAAGTTTTTCATATGAAGCAGCAGTTTGAAAGGTTGAACACCAAACATAAATCAATGTTTACTGGAGAGCCATAAGCAAGGGACCATTTGAGTGAAACTAGACTTCACCCAAAGAGACTAGAAAACCAGGAACTTCAAACCCCATAAAGAGTCCTTTCAAAAAGGGGCTTTCTCTTTCTCTGCCTGCATGGAGCACACAGGTCAGTGTACAGTGATGACACAGCTTGGCTGAGGTGTGATCCAGGTTTTGCCTCACTTTCAAAGAAGCGGACTAAAGCATTCTATTCAGCAGCAAATAGGTTTTTTACTTGCTTCCGTTTAAAGACCAAACCAATGTTTTGCATGGATTTTGCCCACATGTTATGCAATAACTTTGCTGCAAAAACAGATTTCAAAGCAGGCACTTATGTGGTAAATATTATTCAGGGGTTTTCCTACAATTTCAGACGGCTTCTGAGTGAATCACCTTACAAAGGATCTGAAACATTTGTAAAGATGCATCTGTTTTTGTTGTTGTCAAAGAAACTTTATCTGTAACTTAACTGTTTAAAATGTCAACTTTCATTGACTAGAGGCTCCAGAAACACAAGAGCCATGATGAGAGTGAGATACCAAACAGCATTTTATCCATGAGCTGTGAAAGAAGTTCAAACACATTAGATTTAAAAACTGTGTTGTTAAGAAGCCAAGTGTTTTCATGCTACTATTACTCATTATTTTCATAACAACCCACGGTAAAATTATTTCTTTATTGCACAGACTTCCTCTCAACAGTGTGAGCGATGAGAGCGAACGCCCACCAGAGTTTTAAAAATAACTCTGCACCACATGTAGGATGATTAGATAGAGACGATGGTCTGAGTGTCGGAGCAGATACAGACATTTACACACGGCTTAACCCTTTGCATTAAAAGCTGAATCAAATGTAATAAAAAGCTTGCAGCACAGTTTGAAGCACTGGTTCTATTCACGTCTTGGATGCAAGTGAAAAATGTCTCTACAACTATAACATTGCATCTCCATTAGCTGGTGTGGTAAAAAAAAAACAATACTCTGTAATGTATAGTCTAGTTGTGGAAGCTAACAAAAAACAGTTTTCCCTTCCGGGTGGAACACCTGACCAGTAACAAAGGTTCCTACCTTAGATAACCGTAAATTACCCTGTGAGATCCTTTTTACTAACACCACATTATTTTGATAATCTGCTCCTTAATTGGTTTTTGTGTAGGAATCAATGCAAGGGACAATATTTGTATGAGTTTTGTTTAATGTCATTCAGTATAAAGCAAGACTGGCAACTAAAGGAAACAGAATCCTCGGTGGGATCGCCTTTGTTTTGGAGGTTAATTCTCTCTTCTCTATCAATTGACCTGGGTTTACCTCCAAATGGGCCAAAGAGTCCGTGTAGTGTAGTGGTGGGGAAACTCAGAATTCCTCATGAATTGCACCACGTATGATTGTTATTGCTGTACTCCATTGATTCACTTTTTCTAATATGTCTGAAGGACTTTTTTTGGATGACTGTACTCAGCCTGAAGTTCACGATCGTTGTTGTGGTTGACAGTGTAACGTAAGATGTGGTGGTTTGGGCAGAGATGCACAATG